GCTTTGCTTATCCGAGGTCTCTTTCCTTTCCATATAAAGTTAGTGATCATTTTTTCCATATCCCTAAAGAATGTTGATGGGATCTGGATTGGGATTGATGCAACACACTTTTAAGGGGTTATTGAGGCTAGTACAAAATGTGTCCAAATAGTCTTTCTTTCAACAACATATAAAAAAAAAAAAAGTAATCATGTCCAAGTGGGATTCATACCAGGTATGCAAGGATGGTTCAACATTAGAAAAACCACCAAAGTAATCCACCACAAAAATAAAGAAAAATACAGTCTTTCTCAGGTTTGAATATTTGAACGTTAGCTTTTGTGAAATTCAGAACAATTGACAATGCATAGGAATTTGCATTTTAAGATACACCATAAAAAGTATCCATTAGAACTTGCTGTGTTTCTTGCGAAGGACTCATCTCGTTCAGGTGTACAGTACACACTTAGATATGCATACATGTTTGTTGAATCAATGAATGAGCTGCAACAAGAGCACTCACTAGAGAATAAAAACCTTTTAGGGCATTCCCACCCCAGCCCCAATTTTGCTGCCCTTTACCATCACTGTGGTTCCAAAATAAAGTCTGAATGTGTCAGGCTTGTTTCCAGAATGAATAAAGAGACTCTGATCACCAGTTGCCCTAGGGTGGTCACAGAAGGGTGTCAGCTGTGTGCTCAAACTGGGGTCATGAAATCAAGTGTGATGAGTGGTGGCCAGTTTAGTTTAGTTTTTAGAGTGGAATGGAGTGGACTAGAATAGATCAGAGTAAATCACACCTTACAAAGACAACGTTTCTGGGAATATTTATTTCATACACAGATAGAAGGAGGGTGTAATGTGGTTCTCTGTAGAAAAGATATTTCTTGTTGGAGGCTGTGCCCAGACATTCAGAAAGCTGGACCTCCGAGGCTGCCCTGCATCCCTTACTCCACTTTCCAACATCCGTAGTCTCAGCTGCAGTCCCAATAGCTGAGGTCATCACGTGGGTGACATCTAGGGAAGCAGGCAGGTGTCAGCTTGCCTTCACCAGCAGGTCTTCAGGAAGTGCTAACAGGTAAAGTTTTCAGAGGACAGTTAGAGTTCTCACTCATCAAACATGACCTGAAAGGACCTGCATTCCGTAATGAGTATTGTCCCAGCACAATCACCCCAGGGCTTGCTGGCAACTGCTCCCCACACAAGCACAACAGAACTGACTCTCAGGACTGATGCCAGCATTTGCCTTGTCTTGGTGGGTCCTGGCCAGAGACTGGCACTGACAGAAGCATGTGGCTGAGCGACTCTCTGCCATGAAATCTTTTTTTTTTTTTCTTTTTATTGTGCTTTGGGTCCATGTTTACAGAGCACATTTGTTTTGCAGTCAACAGTTCATGTGCATTTGATTTCATACCCTGATTACCATCCCCTATCCTAACCCTCTCTCCTCCTCTCCCTTCCCAGTGACCCCCCACCTTGCCCTTCCTAACTAAACTCCTCTCTGTCCAGCTTTCCCTCCATGTGAATGCTGCCCCTCTGGTGCCTCATGGCCAATTGCTCTAAGGGATGTATTTTCGTAGAGTAGGTGGGTGCATCACCCTGGGTTGGATGTTCTGTATGTAAGTCTTTCTACTGTTAGGCTGAGAGCCAGTCCTCAGGAGTGAGTCCTATCCTAGGCCCAAAGTGTATCCCAGGGCCATAGTCTTGGGGGTCCCACCAGACTCCATCTGACCAGTAATTCTGGTCACGACTGTGTTTTTGAGTTTTGTTCCACATTTTTCCTCCCACTCTAGCCAGGATCTCCAGTTTTGATCCCTTCCTGAGTGGTTGTCTGCCATGAAATCTTGCTGGATTTTCCATCTCTGTCCTAGAGCCCTGCTGGCCAAGAGATTCTACGTTGACCTCTGTGTCCCTTGGTTTCAGTTTGTGGTCGTGGTCAGTATCGTGACCTTCAGGCCCCCGCACTATGGCGCCTACATCTTCCCTGACTGGGCCAACGTGCTGGGCTGGTTCATCGCCACATCCTCCATGTCCATGGTGCCGATCTATGCCACCTACAAGTTCTGCAGCTTGCCCGGGTCCTTCCGAGAGGTGGGTGTTGGAATGGAGGCCCTGCCACCCTGGTATGTTTCCTAACTGTGAGGTCTGTCAACAAAGTCCAGGTAGGTTGCCATGTCCCTGGTTTCTGCTCCTGCCCTGACCTGGGAGAGGAAGGCTGGAGGTGGTGGATGTGGTGGAGAAAGGAGAGAGAGGCTGACCTGCGTGTGCTGGTGAGGAGGACAGAGAACTGTGTGTGTGTCCATGTGTGTGTCTGTGTGTCCTTGTCTGTGTCCATGTGTATGCCTGTATATATCTATGTCCATCTGTATGTGTCTATGTGTATCCATGTGTGTTCCTGTGTGTATGTCTGTGTCGTGTGTCTGTGTGTCCATGTTTTTGTCTATGCTGTGTGCTGGTACATGTGTGTGTCATGTGTGTTTGTGTGTATGTTTATGCCTATGTGTCTGTGTTTGCATCTAAGCTTGTATGTCCATGTGTGCTGTGCTTGTGTGTGTCTGTGTGTGGACCTGTGTGTATCTGTGAGTCTGCACTTATGTCTGTGTGTGCCCATGTCTATGTCCATGCATGTGTGTGTGTGCACCTATGTGTGTTTGTGCATGTGTGTTTCTGTGTATGCACACATGTGTGCTGGTTAAAGGGAACAGGATGGCCTGTCTGATGGTGGATGTGAAGTCAAGCCACCGTTCGTGCCCTCAGCAGGGGGCCGAGCACTGCAGGCCACAGAGGGGAAGCCAGGTGCTGCCCTCTGCACTGTGAGGGAGCTATGGGACCTCGGAGCTTGGCACATCCCTCTTCTTCACCTTTGTTCTACTGTCTATGAAGGAGCAGGCCCATCAAACAATCACAAAAGTCCCATCATGGCACTGAGATTTCCTGGAACAGCTGAGAGGCCACGTCTCCTTACAGGGACCTGCTGTGCTGACTGCTGCAGTTAGGAGTTCATGGCAACAACTCTGTGCTATTACTCTGCAGTCTGTCCTGGACATGGTGATCCTGGTCATGGACAGTCATGCCTGGACTCCACCCCAGCTGAGTCCAAGGATCTCTCAGGGCCAAATGGAGACCCTGGTCACAGATGCAGTAGTGGCCTTGGTCACAGATGCAGTGGTGACTCTGGTCACAGACTCAGAGGTGGCCCTGGTCTCAGATGCAGTGGTGACTCTAGTCACAGATACAGTAGTGACTCTGATTGCAAACACAGTGTTAGCCGTGGTTGCAGACACAGTGGAGAGTGTCCCTCCAGCTCGAGTCCAGTCAGACCAGGGCTGGGAGTAGACATGGGGTCCCTGAGTCTACCTGGCCCTTTCATGTGAAGGGGTCCTTGGGAAAGGTGTGGCTCCAGTAAAACACACTCTCTGAAAATGACTTCCCACTGTGTGGATGACCCCTCCTCAAACCCCCTCCCTGACTGTCACCAATTGTCAGGAACAGCCCAGAGAGGACTGCAGGTAGCTGGGAAGTACCTGCAGAAAGTGGACCCTCTGGGTCTCTAGGTCGCACTGGAGAAGAAGGTGCCTGGGCTGGTTGAGAACCTGGAGGCGGGGGCGGGGGAGGGAGTATCGCAGCTCAGCTGTCTGAGGAGCTGGCGTCCTGGCCTGTCACCCAGCCCAGATCTGACTGTGAACGAGTACAACCTCAGTAGCTAAAGCTGAGACAAATGGAGCTACAGAGACCATCAGGGATGGGGTGGCAGCCTCAAGTGCCTGGGGTCCCCTGGGAGGGTGAGGAAGCTGGCCCTCAGAGGGTCTAAGAGAAGGTCCTTGGGAGTGAGAGAGGCTGAGACACCTGCCTGCTTTTGGAGGGCATGAGTGTGAACCCTGGCCCGTAGTCTTCATCCAGCTGCAAAAGTTAGCCAAGGCCAGGGTGGAAGAAGGCCTGCTTCCTGATTGTTTCTCCAGGTGTTTAACATGGCAAGAGCAAACACATCCTTGCATATATGAGCTCTGAGTGTGTACACCTAGGCCTGGAGGCGCTGGAGATATGCCATTGTGTTTACAAGAATCCTGAACGCATGCTGACTTAGCATGGAACACCACCCCCAAGCTGGTTCTTATTTCAAGTTGGGGTTGAATCGATGGATCTGCTACCTTGCTCTAGAGTTTAAGGAGACCCAAAGGGACCAGCTGACCACGTGGCAGGCTGAGGAAACCTGTCCCTCTTGGTGAGGGTGTGCTGGGACTGATGGTCTTGTGTTCTCTTGTAGAAACTGGCATATGCCATCACGCCCGAGAAGGAACATGAACTAGTGGACAGTGGGGAAGTACGCCAGTTCACGGTGAGTGCCGCTAACACCTCTGGGCCCCTCAGCAGAGAATCCAGAATGAACTCTCCTCTGCTCAGCACCAGACCTTAAGTTCTTAGACAAAGTCCTGTGCCCAAATGTGCCTCCCCGACCCACTCCACCTACAACCATGCTGTTAGACGGTCTCTGAGTTGCTGTGTCCCTATTCCTGGACGGACTGAGAGAAGGGTGTCACAATAGATGTTGAGGTCAGCAAATCCACTCACCCTAGCTAAGGTGCTTTCCTCAAACTGTGGAAGGGACATGCTCAAAGAGATGCACCTACCCAGGTCCAACTCCCGCCCATGAGCTGTGTGATCTCAGACAAGTTACTGAGCCTCTCTGTGCTTCAATGACCTCTTTTTTTTTTTTTTTTTTTGGTACAGAGTTAATATGTGCCAAACCTTGACTCTGGCTCTCTAAATCATTGTTGTTGTTAGTTGCCTTTGAGTCCATTCTGACTCATAGTGACCCCATGTGTGCAGAGTAGAACTATTTCATGCATTTTGAAGGTTGTGACCTTTCAGAAGCAGATTGCCAGGCCTTTCTTCCAAGGCATGTCTGAGTAGGTTCAAACTGCCAACCTTTTAGTTAATAGTAGAGTGCTTAACCATTTGCACCACATAGGGACTCATTCAAAATTATGAACTATCATTTTTCTGTCCCTGCTCCTTGGTAGACAGGGCCAGGAAGGTGAAGGTTGAGAAGCTGCAGTTTTTCATGGGACCTGACCATCTCTGATCATCTCTACACGCTCATACTTTATGTCTTTGTTCTTCCTTCCCAGTCAAGGCCCTGGTTGCAGACTGGTCTGATCATAGAGCCTCAGCTTCTCTCTTTCCTCCCTCCCTCAGACACGCTCTTCTCTGCCTTCAAATGTGCTCACCAGTCCCAGACACAAGAGGAGTGTCCAGGTGTGGCTGTCCTCTACCTTGTCCACCAGCCTCCTGCCCACCCTTGGCCAGAGCCTCTCTCTTCTGTCTTAGGGATCACTGTCCTTTACATCTGATGTCCATTATCTGGAAAACCATGCCTACATATATTTTTTTCATTGTTTGGTCCAGGTAGGAGGGTAAATTAGGTCCCTGTCACTCCATCTTGGCTGGAAGTAGTATCTTGTACATAGCTCTGTTTCAATCATTTTGACTGCTGAGTAATATTCCATTAGGTAGATATACCACAACTTAGTTATCAGTTTTCCATCTCACACCTCCCTGTATTGTACTTCAGTAAGGGTTATATTTCGTTTCCAGAAGTAGTTTGTTTGGTCTGTTTGTTTCTTATGAAATGTTTAGGTCAGTGCCAAGTGGGCAGGGAGGCACCATCTTCTGACCTCCTCTAACCCACAAGAGGAAGGCAGAATCACCATCAGTAGCCCAAGGCCTATTCCTGCAAGGCCAGACATGCTGCCTCCCTCCAGCCCTTTTATCAACCCTGACACCAAGTGTTCTTCCCGCAGCACCCACCACCTCTCTGCTGGGTTTGATAATTCACTGCAGTGACCACATAGAACTCACAGATTATGGAGTTTATTAGGGAAGCAACAGGCTACAATTCAACTTCAGAAATGCACTGACTCTCGCAGCCTGCTGTCTCTCAGCCAAAAGTCTCTCTCAGCAGTGTATGTCTCTCACATCTCCCTCAGCAATGCGTGCCTCACGTCTCTCATCCAGCAGTGAGAGATATCTTCTGCCTCTAGGAGGGCTCCTTTAGAGCCCGGTGGAGTGGCCCAAACCAACCAATCTTAACATCAGAATTCTACACACTTCCCAGAAAATTACTTCATGCTGCTCCCAACAGAAATACTCCAGGTGGATAACTTTAACAATCAGGAGCTACTCAGTTGCTCACAGCAAATTCCACCACAGAATTTACAAAAGACTTATGGGTAGAAAAGCCATGCTATGTAATTTACTATACCACAGTCAGTAAATCTGGACAAAATGCTTTTTTTTCCCCCTCAAATTTTTATTGTGATTAGGGTGAAAGTTCACAGAGCAAATTCATTTTCCATACAGCAGTTCATACACATTTTGTTTCATGACGCTAAGACAATTGAAACAATTCCCCACAATGTAACAGCTCTCTTCCTACTTCCTGCCTGTAGTTACCTCTTCCCTGGGTCCTTCTTTCTTAAGCACTCCTGCCACCTGAGCTATTTCCCATACAAATACTGCCCTTCTGTTCTCCTATGATTGGTTGTTCTAAGGACGGTATCTACCTGATGTAAATGTTCACACTATATGCCTGTCTGTTGTTTGACTGGAAGCCACAGCAGTGAGTTCAATTCCAGACCTGAAGGGTAATTAGGGGCCACAGTCTTGGGAGTCTCACCAGGCTCTCCCAGATCAATAAACCTGGTTTTTTGTTTGTTTGTTTGTTTGTTTTATGATTTTGGGTTTTGTTCCACATTGTTCTCCCACTCTATCCAGGATCTCCTGCACTGATCCCTTTCCAAGTGGTTGACAATGGTACCTAGACACCAACTAGTTCTTCTGAGACCCCTCATCTTGGGGGTCTCAGTCTGAGGTTTCTGGTTTCTGCTGACTCACCCACAGTGGCTCCACCCTTATGTTCTGGTCTTCTCTATTGTCTGTGAACTTGTAACTTGATCTGAATCTGTGGGAATTCTGAGAGCATGTCTTCTTCCTCTGTCATCTTCTAATTTTGCCAGTAGCCAGGACAGAAGGACACTTCAGCCTCCAGGAGTTGGGGCAAAGAGCTGGAGTCCCAAGCACAGCTTCCCATCCTCACTGCTGATCTAATGTGGGTCACTCCCAGAACTGCTGCTCTAGGTCTGGCTGAAGGTCCCCTCCTGGCTGAGTCCCTCATCAGACTGGCTCCCAGCCACATGGGACCCATCACTAGATCCCTACCACACCTGGGCTCTCTACACTGGCCTTCCCTGCTGGCTCCCCCAGGCTCCCTAAAGCTCCCCTGGCCCCTAACCAGGGCTGAAGGAGTAGCACTCTCTATAGTTCTCCCAATGGGACCCACAGAAGAGCCCTGTCCCACTGTCTGCAGTAGCTTAGCACCTTCCACCCATGGTGCAGTTGTATCAGAAGCAAACTCTTCAAGCTCTTGTTGTGGCAATGTTTACACCACAGTCCTTGCATTTATGCCTAATGACTGCTGCTCAGAATGGGGCTGAACCAACAGCTGCCTGATGACAGATGATGACATTCTGCAGACAGTCTAAATAGCCATCCCTGTCTGTCATCGGTTCCCAGCAACAATGAGGCCATGAGTGAGCTCACTCTCACACCTCTTCTGGGGTCAAGATAGAACTGCAGGAGCACAGTGTCCTTGGATGGGGGGCCAGTGGCCCAAAGAAAATGGGAGGGAAAGCCCCCCCTAGGTCACACAGCCCATAGTGAGGTAAGATTGGTGGGTGCTGGTAGTTTGTCCTGCCCAGCAAAGACACCCATCCTGGGCAGCTGTGCTCTCTGACTCTTCTTTGTTGAGTCATTACATTTTAATATAAATTTAAGGCAGAACCCTGGTCTTAGGTACTATGTCAGGAGCATTGTTGGTCCCAGTGAGCATTACCAGGGGACTAGGAGCTCTGGTAGCATAGTGCCTAAGGCACTTGACTGCTAACCAGAAGGCTGATGGTTCAAACCCACCAGCCACTCCTCGGAAGGAAGGTTGGGCAATCCTACTTCTGTAGCGATACTGCCTTGGAAACCCAAGGAAGGGTCGCTATGAGTCGGGGCTGACTCGACGGCAAATAACAATAACAACAACAACAGCCATGGTCAGGTCCATAGCTGTCTGCCCGGCCAAGGCATCTGGACCAGAGCAGGGTGCAGGTCATCAGTCTGGGAGCCTCCCTTATCCAAGGAACTCCTCCCTTCCCTTCTGAATAACCCCTTGTTTTCTTTGCAGCTCCGCCACTGGCTAATGGTGTAGAACGCAGACAAAGGAAACCCCACGGCTAGGCCACCTCTCACCATGGATGAGATGTCAGCAGAGAAGGAATGGGGAGGTTTTGAGAGAAAGGAAAGATTCGTTTACTATTTAATGCTACCTTCTGGAGGGGTGGGGACGAGGCTTTTCTTTTCACTGTTTACACACTGTCTGTGCCAAGGGAGATATTACTCACGTTTGTCGTGTGTTGGTAGAATAACTTAGCATAGATCTGTGAGGTGCGACTCAGCCCCTGGCCCCAGGCCCTACGGGGTAGAAAACATCCAACTCCATGTTTGACGCATGTAAAGCTGGCTCCCTCCCCATCATCCCTGACTCAGTGACTGTCCTGTTGTCATGTGTGTGCTTCCAGGAGACGGGTGTGGTCACTGCAGACACACTGTGCTGAAAACCCACGCTTACAAGAACTGCCTGCATCAGATTTGCTCATAACTCAGGAAACCAAGTATCATATTGTGTCTGATTGTTCAGAGCGTGGAGATGGAAACACTGGCCACAATGGCAAAGCCCGTTGCAAATACCCAGTCCCGAGCAAAGGGTGTAACGTGGTCCTCAGGTTTCCATGTCACACCAGAGCCTGTCCAGACAGACACATTGGAGGTGGCAGACTCGCAGGATGTGTGACTGGGGGTTCTGTTCATTTTCTGAGGGGAGTTAAGACTCCAGGGAGTCATTTTGGGCTGCCACCCCACTGTGAGCTCTGGGTCCCATTCAGCTCAGTCCTGGTCCCACAGGAGGAAGTGTGTCCCCACAGGCAAGCGTTATGTCTCCATCCCTGCAGATACCTGGAGTGTCTGGAGCCCCCAGAGGCAGGTGCACCTGGAGACCCATCCTACAAGGCTTTGTACCTGCAGGGAGCAACACCACCCCAGGGTCTTATTTCTCTTATACACACATCAGTGACAATATATATATATATATATATATTTTATGTTAGGGAATATTTTTTCCAAAATCACGTTGACCTGTGACTCAGTCATTCTGAACACAGGGTTGGTTCATCCTCATGTCTGGCTTTTGTTTATGAGGACGTTGGCAGGGACTGCTATCATGCAGGGCACTCAGCATCAGTCTGAAGGGAAAGGTGTGGTCATTACCACAAAAACATCTGCAGATGTTGAACATGAACTTCTGAGCCTGCCTGTGGGCCACCACCACAGAGTGGGCAAGCCCAGTGGGGAGAAATGTGCCAAGTCTTTGGGGGCACTTGTGGCCACATGGAGCCACACATTCTGCACCTGCGGGTCCCATTTCTCACCACCCTGAGGAGCTCACAGTGAGGGTAGACACACAAGATTGTGGCCATGGCTAAGAGGGACCAGTTTATGTCCTGCTGTCAGAGCTGCGTCTGTGCACCCTGCGTAGAAATCCAAGCACCATCACTGTCTGCCCTGTCTCTGTAGTCCGTCTTGTGTTGGTCAGTTCAACCAATTAAAAAAAAAATGGTGTTGTAAAAATGACCTCAGACATGTACCTCATTTGTGCTTGGCCTAGGCAATTTCTGTGGGGTCCGGGTCACCTACTGTCTCCGTTTCCTAGAGCTACGGTAGCACAGGTACCACCAGGGGATGGCTTCCAAGAACACATTATTCCTTCACAGTTCTACAGCCTAGGAGACTGAACTAAGGATTATCAGCCTGCCCCCATGTGTGCATCTCTGTGTATCTAATCCTATAACTCAGAAGTGATCAGGTTTAGGATCCTGCACTGGTATGACCTCAATTGACTGGTAAGCTACATTGCATTTGATTATATTGTAGAAAGTAATTACATTACATCCGATTAAAACAAAGCCCACTGCCTTAGAGTCAACGCCAACTCATAACAACCCCATTGGGTTTCCAAGGCTGTAAATCCTTATGGAAATAGATTGTCTCATCTTCCTCCCATGGAGCAGCTAATAGGTATGAACCACTGATCTGGTTAGGAGCCAAATGCCTTACCCACTGTGCCACCAGAGCTCCTTACTACATCAGATTACCTTATGAAGTTGAATATATTACCTTATCTTACATTGTATTACATCAAAGGTGATTGCATTATATTAGCTATAAAGTAATTGCAGATTAGGTTATGGGAGTATTATAACTACTTCACCACAGCAACTAGACTAATGTTTGGCCAATTCACTGGGAATCACAGCTTAGCCCAGTTGACATACAAAATTAACCATCATACCTGCCTACAAGGAGGGTTGGCTGCCTTTTGGCTCACTGCTCCCCTTCCTATCCATACTGTCTCCCTGGCTGAGTCCCAGTTAAGCCCGACACCACCCCGACTGAAATCTCCATCCAGCCTCTCCCCAGACCCAAGAGTGAGCACATCCCTGGGCTTTCACACAGGTCTCTTCTGTTAACCTTGATCCCACACCAGGTCCTCGTTCCTGTAGGTTTCCACCTCAGACTTGATGGCACCTGCCTGCACCCACCTGCTCAGGCTGAACCTTAGTTCCTGCCTTTGTTGGGGCCCTCACCTGGTCCATCAGCACCCCATGTCCACCTGGGTACCACCACTGCTCTGGCCCCAGAGCCTCTTTCTGGGACACACGCCACAGAGTCTCCTAAGTGGGTCCTGCTCTAGCCCTTGGTCCCTGAGGGTCCCTTGTCCAAAGGATACGGTGGACATCAAGCAATCAGGTCACAACCCAGAGGACAGCTCCCTGGTTTACCCCTAGGCTTGGAATAAATGCCAGTGCTGTTACGTGACCATATACCTGGACATCTGGTCACTTCCATGAGTCTCTGCCTCAGCTCCCCTCCTTGGTCGTGGGATTCCATGATAAGCACATGTCCCAGGACACCCCACATCAGGGCTTCCTGCTTCCCGACCCCCTGCACGGCGCTGTGGTCCAAAGTCTACCAGAGACACTCACCCTACTTCCTTCAGCCTCAACAGAGGATGCCTTGTCTCAGCAGCTTCCTGATCCCAGACCCAAAAGGTGAGCAGTGTCCCCAGTATCTGAACCAACTTCTTAACACCTCTGGAATTTAGGCCCCGGGAAACTCCAAGGCACCCTTGCTGATGTCTCTGGAGCCATTTACACAGAAATCCACCAGGGCAGCCCGCTGGCCACAGAGGTCTCCTCTGCCTGCGGGCCCAGCCACATAGTAGGGCAGACAAGACGGCCAGCAGCCAGAGACAAAGTGGAGCTTTGCCCAGCAATCAGTCCTGGGAATGCCCATTGCACTGTCCCCTTACATGAAAGTGGGGGAGAGAATCACAGAGACAGGCCAGACACTGGACTGGGAAAGAAACACTGAGATCAACGGACCCCTCACCCGGATCCCCAGCAAACAAAAGGCAGCCCCACCCCTGAACAGCAAAAGGGCTGGGCAGAGAAAAGGAGCAAGGGTCCAATCATGGGCTCCAAACCCTGAGAGGTGAGAAGCAGAGCCTGCCCTTGGAAAGGAACAGGAAGTCACAGGCTGAGTATGCTGGCCTCAGATGCCAGGCCCCCAGGACCGAGGTGGCTGCTGCAGACCCCACAGGGTGCCAGGTCCCACTCCCGTTGGCAGCTCACTGGTGGCAAATGACCAAAAATAAGAAAGTGATGCAAAACAGCATAGCCCAAAGCTAGTGCCAAGTCCAAGGTAGACACCCTGGGAGGAGGCAGTGAGGGAGCGGGTAGGGGTGAGGGAGTGTTCTGGTTCCCTGGTGCTGCTCTGACAGGAATACACCATAAATGGGATGGCTTGAAAGTTTGTTCTCTCACAATTTTGGAAGCTTTAAGTCCAAGTTCAAAGTGTCAGGCTCTAGGGGCTGGGTGAAATCCCCTTGACCTTGGGCTCCAGCGCTGCCTCCTGCTCCCAGCCCTCTGAAGCTAGAGGCTCTTCTTCACTCAGGCAGCTACTGGCTGCTGAATCTGACAAACCCAAGGTCTACAAGTTAAAAGGCACAGTTCCAATATTACCAAACCACATGGCAGGCCATTCATTCAAGTCCATTGAAAGTCCCAAGATCAGCAAAGCATGGCAGGCTACACGCAAGATGCAAGCATGCCAGAAAACTAGAGACCATTCCCAAAGCTGCTTCTTATATATGGGAAGCAGACCACATCCCTAAAGCAGCTACTCAGCTACTCGGGGCAGATTCCACAATGGAGCTG